TTAGGGGCTGCAGGGCAGACCACCCTGGCACACAAGCCTGTGTCCTCCACTGCCCGGGCACTGCTTCCTATGCTTCAGCACCTGCTGCCTAGGCACTGGCTTCCCTCTCCTCAACAGCAGGGCCTGCCCTCGCATCCCTTGTATTAGCTAAAGCTCCTTTGTTTGCTGTCATGACTGACCGTTGCTTATTCAGCTCCTGAAGCAAAAAGGCCAAGTGGCCAATGCTTGCTCCATTATACCTGCCTGACCTTCATCTCCTCAGGTGACGGTGGCTGGGAAGTGTTTCCAAAATGACCCTAAGCAATTTAGTCTCCTATCCAACCAGCCAAGGCAATTGACAATAATAAAACAAAACAACAGCAAAGGGACAAAGAAACAACACCAAAATGCAGCAACATTATCAAAATAATACAATGAAATATATTGAAAATAGCAAAAAATATTGAGGAATAAAAAGACAATAAGATGATCATGACAACAGGGATTAATGATAAAAGGCCTGCTTAAAGAAGTACGTCTCGGTCTGGCAACTCCACATATACTGTTCTGCAGGCATTTAATAGATGGGAAGTCACTACAGGGAAGGCTCTTCCACTGGTGGCCACTCACTGCAATTGTGGGCACTGGCAGCAGCCAGCAAAAGGCCCTCAGAGGTGACCTTCACAGTCAGTCATGGGTGAAGTATTGGCGCGCCTTCACACAGACTGGTCCTGGCCCGTTAGGATTGAGAAGCCTGCACCAGCGGTTTCAGATGGGCCTGGAAATTGCCTGGCATCCAATTTCAGTTGATACCGCACTGAAGCAACATGTTCAGCATGGCCCTCCTCAGTAAGCAGCCCTTCCACTGCATTCTACCCTAGCTGAAATTCCTGGTCTATCTTCCGAGACGGCCCTTTATAGAATGCATTGTAATACACCAAGTGGGAGGTTACCAGTACATGGATAACTGCAGCCAGACTCTCTCTCTGTCCAGGTGGAGTCCTAGCTGAGATATGCTGAAGCTAGTCCGAGACACTTCATGCCATGGAGACCAATGGGATCCCAAGTGACAGAGCTGAACTGATGACCACTTCCAGACTATGAGCTTGCTCTAGAGTAGTTTCATTTTGGAGGCACTTAAAATATTCATTTTAAGGAATACATTTGCCAGGCTTAATGGCACCCCAAGTTGCTGTGCAAAGCAGCCATCTCTACACTTGAGTTCTTTGACAGCCCTAAGTGGGATGCAACCTGGAGCTGCTGATTTGTTGGCTTTCAATCTGTCAATAAGGCCTAGAAAGAAATGCAGACCCTGGAGGCCAAATTGAGTACCCCAGAATTCTCAAGTGCCCACGTCCCCTTCAAATATGCCCAGTCGCACCCCTTCACCCCCATCACCTACTATTTGGTGCTTTAACCTGAATTTAAAAATCCTGGTATTTTTTCTATTTTTGGTCCCATTCCTTTCACTTTCGTCCCTGCACACCACTGCAGCACAGCCCCCAAACACTTCTCCAAAATGAAATTCAGTCTTTGGGCTGAAAGAATTTCTGCACCCCCACCCCCTCAATCCAGAACGCCATCTTTTGCCACCATTATTGCCCTTACTTTCTCAGATTTTTTTTCCTGAAAATATAGATTTAGACATGAGTATCTGTCCTGTGCTTTTTACAGTGAATCTAAGACTCTAAATGGTCATTCTACTTCTTTGCATTCTTCTTGACATACAGAGAAGGCTTGGGCAATGTCTCAATCTTCTCCAATAGTTTCCTTGACACTGTTGATTCACCATGATGGCGACATCTTGAACCTGGGGCTATCTTGCTTAAACTTGTAGCTGAGCTTCTGTTACTATGTTTTTAAGTAACCTCCAAGTACTTTGGAGAGATTTAACACGTTTGATTTCCCCTTTTAACTTATACTTTACAAGCTACCTTTTAAAAGTTAAGCATTAGCTGCCTGGTTCCATTCAGGTTCAAGTGAGACGTGCTCATTTTGTATGGGCCAAGTCTGTCCCAAAATGTTCCCATGTCTTTCAAATCTGAACCCCTATTTCCTATGCCACCTCCTTCTCCACACACCGCAATGTCTCAGCTTTGCCTTTCTCGATGGCTCTGTAAGTGGACTAGGTAGCAGCTCAGAGGAAGCTACCTTGGAGGGCCTGGATTTCAAACTCTTATCTTAGCAACCTCATTTTGGTTTCCAGGTCAACACAGCTGCATTTCCCAATTTCATTGCTACCAACATACGTCACTACCTCTGTGATGATCCACCTTGCCACTACCTGCAAAACTTCCTGGATGATACATGTCAAGAAATTTGCTATATACTCTATATGCCTGTCTATGCCTATAATGATCAAATGTCCTACTACCACAAGCCACCAACCTGCAGAAGCATATCCTGATCGTCAGACAGTATTTTTTGTGTTTCAAGGAATGAGTCCTTTCCTTTATTCTTCCTTGGTATGACATCCTCCTTTTCTGCGACACTTATTGCCTCTGACTGCTAAGGGGCTGTCCCCCAAGCATGTGATGCCCTGTCAGGTCTCCAGAGGTCTCATCCACAAACCTCTCTGCCTTCATCTGTTTCTCCAGGTCAGAAACCTTGACAGAAACAATCAAATTTGTTTGCTGAAAGCCAGGAGCTCATTACACTGGGCAAATATCCATGACTTCTGTGCAGTAGGAAACTAATCATACATAGGAATCTCAGTGAAATAAACTGGATAGCTCTTACACCCTGCTGGCTTTATTCCTGCATGTTTGTTTTGCTGTTATTGTTGCATTTGTTTAGCTGGAAAACAAGTTATCTGCTAGCAGGAGGTAGGGAAAGAGAAGGACTAACTGCTCTGGCCTCCTTGTCCCACTGTTAAACTTGGATGTGTACTTAACTTTTTTTTTCCTTGACATTTTGTCACTGGGGCGCCTCATACTCTGTGAATTGTTTATGGAGCATCCAGATGAAAATATTTTCTACTTCTACATTATTTTCTTCCTATATCTTCTTACTGCTTCTTCCATCCTTTTTCTTTCCATAGAAAATTAATTAAGGAGAAAAAGGTGGAACATCTGCACAATGTCTTGTTATTATTACTACTTCCTGCATCTGCAGAGAGTTGGACTAGGAGGCCTGTGAGATCCCTTCCAACTCAGTGACTGTATTGTTGTCATTATGATAAGAAAGTAAGACAGGGAGCATAGAGGAAGAATGAGCATATCACAGAAGTACATGAAATCAGGGCTTGGTTTTACTGCCCAGTGGCATCAAAAGGCAGGGCATCAGATGGTGCTCTGGTCAGGGTAGAGAAAAGAGAGGGGGGGGTACATGTTGTGGAATGTTTTTGGGAAAAGCGGGTGGATCTCCACCAATAAAAGATCATGGCTGCTTGCTCTAACAACCTTTGACCTCTACAATTTGCAGTCATATCATGGAAAAGACGTAACAGGACAGAACATCTCAACCTTCTACCCAACAACCTCGCACAATCATTTGGTGTCAAGGGGAACAACCTCCAAGTCAGGGGTGGGCACAGTGTGACCCACAGGCTACATGTCTCTCCAGTGGCCATTCTGTAGCATCCCATGCAGCCCTGACCCCCCTGCTAAATTTGCCATTGAAATTTGATGGCAGCAGATGCCTACCCACCTGCATTTTTTGTTGAATCAGCTTCCCAGGAACATGATTTTGCTTGAAGACAAGGTACCTGCTCCCCTCCCCACAAGTTTGTTTACAAAGTCTGCTTTAAAAACAACTACATCTACTACATTGTCTCATGACCTCTAGACTTAGTTGGAGATAACCAGGGCGTATGGACCAGGATGGTATTTATAGGAAGGAAACCACTATAGAGAAGGAACTTGCTCTTGGACTCCAGATCTCTGTGTGTGTGTGTGGGGGGGGGTATGCTTCATAAACACAAAGGAGGGTGGGGAGAGAGAGACTGGGAAATTCATATGCTACTTTTCATCTGCTTGGATGCCCTTCACAGCCTGGTCAGATGAAGCTTTTCAAAGTAATGAAAATCATGAGGCAAACTGAGCCAGGCCAGGGAAGATCTCTAGCTCTCTTTCCTGCCCTCTCCTCACCCCACTCTGGCAGCTTCCATACAGCCTGGGCTGCAGTCAGTGAAGAACAACAGACTGCTGCTACATTTTATACTTACTGCAAAAGCATACCTTTATTTTTCTAGAGTTGTTGATCCAGGGCACAGACAACACGCTGGGAGTTGTGGGCCTTTCCCCCGTCTGAGCATGCATAAGACTGCACTTCTAGAATGCTGGTACCCCCAACCGCATGAACATAACCAATAGCCCAAAAAGCATCTCTCCTCTAAAGGAGGCGGGAGGGGGGATGGCCCCATCTTGTAAAAAGGTAATTCAAGTGAGGCCCCAGGCCAGCAGTGTGCATTACCCAATCTTGCCTGTGCCCAGTTGCTCTCCCCCAGCCGCTCCCGGCTTGCCCTGTTGCACGAGGCAGAGGGCCAAACACATTTGTTCCTGATGGAGTGGGATTTATTCCTTCTGGCCATGTGGTTCTCAGGGCTGCTCTGCTTTTCCAAATGGGGCAGGAGGGCTGGAGAGGAAGTAAATTATTACAAACAACTTTCTTTGAGTGAGTTCATTTACATTCCCAGGCTTGTAGCTGGCAACGGCCTCAGGCCTCTCTCCCTTGCCCCACCCCCAGAGCTCTCCCCGCACCCCCCCTTCTCCCCCCACACTCCTCTCCTCTCCTCTCCCTCTCTCTCCCTCCAGTCTTAATGACTTCCACATGGGCCTCTGGCATTCTGAGCATTGTCTGAAATCTCCAAATTTAGAAGAAATATGAAAATTGTCAAGCACGCCTTCCTTAGGGGGTAAAACCAACATTCGCTTGAACTGTCGCAGGTCAAGGCAACAGGCCCATGTGACCAAGCCCCAGCCAATGGCCTCCCACAGAACCACTGACAGATGTGGCCGTCAGCCATCCAGCATCGTCTTTCAGCTCATATAAGGTAAAAGTAAAAGGTTTTCCAGATTCTGAGCGGCGAGGAAAGCGTTTTCACCCAGGACTCCTTGTGCCAGCGGCTTCAAAAAGGAGTGGCAGCACTGGTCTCCCAGTGTCCCTCTATATTTTGAAGAGATGAAAAGATGCCCGCTTTCTCCAGACACACTGTGGGCCTAGCACATGGCAGGTGTGGGCAAAGATTGCTGGTCAATTGAAAGCAGGTATGTTCCTGAGTGTGTGTATGGCTGGGTGTTTGCTTGCCCATGTATGCTAAACTTGCTCTACAGCTATAGGTATCTTTGTATGTACTGGGTATTTTACATAGCCTCAAAAAGAAATGCAGATACATGGCATGTGGCTCAAATGCTCCCATGATTCTTAGATTATATATTAGTGGGGATGTTACATCTCAGCTGAGTTTGCCTTCAGTTCCACACTGCAGTATAATTCTTTCAGGCATCAGATCTATTCTCAGTCTGGAAGGAAAGAGGAGGGGAGAAAGAAGGAAAGGAAAAAAGAAATGATGGAAGGAAAGACAGAAGGGAGGAGAGATGGAGATAAATAACAGCAACTAAAAAGGAGAAAAAATAAAGACACCACTCAAGGTGGTGAAAGTGGGCTTCTGCTTGCAGGAAGAATCTCAATTTACTCTGAGAGTAATCCTACACCCCTCAAAAACTGAGATTTTCAACACAGTGTGCAGTGGCTGCATATGGGAAGCTAAAAATCCAGCACACCATCCAGATGTTTTTAATAGCCTCTTCTTCTGCAGGATCATGGCATACCAGGCTGCCCTTTACCTTGTGCTCTTTTTCTTTATCCTTGCATTCTGGTTGACTCTTCTCTTCTCTTCTCTTCTCTTCTCTTCTCTTCTCTTCTCTTCTCTTCTCTTCTCTTGATCAGCATCTTTTATTCTGAGCATTGCAGGGTGATGAATTTTGAGCCTTGGTCTTGAAACCTCAAAGTGAAAGAAGCAGCCATCTTCGATAGAACAGCACTTAGTGGGAAACATAATTAGAACCTCTTTAGGAAAGTTAAGGCCATTGCCAGTCCTCTTTCTCCCGAGGGCTTACCCCACCTCGTCAGATACTCAGTGCTAGACAGCAACAAAGACAAGCCAGGGCTGTTACACTCTGCCTTGCACCCTTTAGAATAAGCTAAAGCGTTATTTCTCCCAGAGACTACAAAGGCTGTCCGGTTGGCTGTAAGAGGCAGATGTTTCAGAGAGCTGCTGGCATTTGTTTGTTCCACAGAGTATGTGCCGAGTTGGAAAATTTTAAAAAGAAAAAAAGGAAGAATTTCCAGCTGAGACTGCCCTCCCCCTTCCCACCCTGCAGTGGAAAATGGCAATAGATCATTTTGTCTTTCCAAGACTCCCTCACCAGTGTGGAGTGAGCTGGGGTCACTGGAGCTACTGAAGTTACAACAGCCCCACGCTTGGCAACAGGCATTAAGTGGTCCTGGGGGAAAGGAGCCTTACTCTTTTCAGAACATTTCTGGTAATGATGCTCCAATCTCGGGCCTGAATTGCAACTCCACTGAGATGGGTAGTGGCCACACAGTCCACCCCGACAACCACGTTCCCAGCAAAGGGCCTGGGAAGCAAACATGTCATGGGCATCCTAATAGTCACAAGCGAGTCCTTTTTTGCATGTTGTAATATACTCTGTGAATGCGGAAGGGGAAAAAGTTTGTTGGCACGGGTGGTGTTGAATCAGACGACTGCGCCATTGAGCCCAGTATTGCTAACACTGGCTGGCAGCAGCTCTCCCAAGCTTCAGGTGGGGGTTTTTCCAGCCCTACCTGGAGACAGCAGGGGTTGAACTTGGGCCTTCTGCATGCAAAGTAGATGCACTGTCCATTTAGTTATGGCGCTTGCTCAAATCCAGTGCCTCAGAGAGACTCCCAGAGGTGCAACCCTGGTCTTGCAATAGGTCAGATTGATTGCTGGCAATTTTTGTATCACCTGTTGGGCTAAAATCCTTTTAGGAAATGACGGCTGAGAGGTGGGCAGCACAGTTCTGATTATCTGGAATACATCTTCAATTTGGTGGCATCTGATCAGAGTTCTGGAGCTCAGCCTAAAGCACTCTAGACACAAAAAGGCTGATAGATAGGTGGGAAATTTCTTTCCAGCACACACGTATGCACACACACCCACGTCCGGATTTCCCAAAGCAATTATCAGAAGGAAATTCGGGGAAGGCTGTGTCTAGACAGGCTGCATTGCTGAATTGCTCCTGGACAGAGTAATGTTTCCTTCTCCACTTGTGAAAATGTTGCCTGGAGATGATTTAAGTTTGTTTCTTTTTAAAATGACAGCTTGCAAAATGCTCTTGTAGCTTCAAAACCGGAGACCTGGGAAAATGGATTATTTCAAATACTTAGTATACCCTTTTGCCTTCCTCTTTACTTCAACATTTCTACACCAGCTGTTTCCTTTATTCCTCTTCATAAGCACCAAGGTTAAATGGAATAGATGGGTTGTTCATGAGTTCCTTGAGACTGTTTCTTTGGTTCATTTGGTCATTCTCTACCTGTAGAGAAACAGCCAGAAAATGGTTGAAAATAGGCATCTCTATGATGCTAAACAGGTCAGCTAGGAATCTGAGACACTGGTGAAGACGGGAATTCTTTAGACGTGGGTCAAAATCACTGTTGAGCTCTTGCAATATTTCTGTCTTGTCTGATGCTGCCGATGCAAATGAGAACAAGGAAGACAGTGTGAATCTAGCTCATGAATGTTTTACAGTCAACTTCCAAAGGCCACCTACCAGGAGCCTGCTGTGTGAAAATGCTCTCAAGTTTATATTTATGTGTTTGTCTATTTATTTCTTATATTTATATTCCACCTTTTTCCCATTGTGGAACCCATCGTGGCTACCTGGGGTACCCAGGTGATCTCCCTCCAAGCTCAGGCCATCCCCAGACCTGCTTAGTTTCAACATGGCGGATACCTTATGTGCCTTCAGACACGGGCACTTCTGTGAACATGCTCTCTATGTTTCTACAGTATGAACGGCTAATGAAGCTTGAGGAGCTGCTAATAGCTTGTTGTAGAATTGCCCTCTTGTCAACACATCTGAAGGGGGAGTTGCTGCAATGGCATCCAGTGTTTTTGCTTCCACTGTCTTTAGGTGTCAGTGTAACGTATGAAAGACTTACATTGCCTAGACTCTGTCTGTGGACTCAGAACCATAGGACAGGCAGGGTTCCCAAGCCTAGGCCCTATGGTTCACACATGTGTAGGGTCTTTCACAAGTTATGCTCAGTGCACATGGAAAGCAGAAACAAGAACTACCAGATGTGGTCCCATATATATCTCAATATAATTGGGCGTGCTCAACATGCCTCCGTATGTATATCTTCTGTATGTGTCAGAACATGTTAATAAGTTTAAGGATGGAGTATGGCAGTATGCATGCATTCCAGTCAGATAATATAGCTTTGCTTTGCTGCATGAACACATATGCCTAATGGTAGACGAAAACACAAGTCTGTTGGTGGTCCTTCATTTTAACCCACAGGAACCAGTCCCTGGGATTTGAGCCAGTTCAACTGAGAGAAAGAAAATGAATAGTATGATCCTATGCATGGCTACCCAGATGCAGACCCCAAAGTATTTGGTAGCATTCATGCAAGAGAGAAGTATGTGTAGGATTGCAGCCAAAACATCCTTGCTGGATGGGATTCTGGGCAGTGTCAGGGAGAGGACTAGACCGCTGCTGAATATGGGGAGACTGTGTCAATCCATGCTCTGATAGTTTGGAAGTCCTTAGAGGAATAAGCACAGGCAACCCGGCAAAAGTTGTTATGAAACAGTGACCGGGATTGCAGTCCCCACATTAGGTTGCACTTTTCTCCTTCAGGGGCCCTTTCCACCTACTTCTTGTTTCATGCAACTACCATGGCTAGAAGCAAGGTCCGAAGGTGAAGGAAGGATATAGAAATGTCAGTTCCTGGTGTGCCAATATGGCTTGGCAGTTCTATGCATTCTGGGGTGGAAATTCACCTCAAACAGTGCGCCAGCAATGCTCCTTGTATTGTCATTCCAGGGCAGTCCTAGCAAAGTGTCTGGGATCCTAAGACCTAGTTTAAGAATGCCAAGAGGTGTGGGCATACCCACTGGCATGCTACACTTTCCCCCTGTGAACATCAGGCTTCTGTACGATGTCACATCTGCTTTTAGATTCCCCATATCTGGCATCATAGGCTGATGTTCAAGAAAGAAACCCAAATCCCACCATGGCCATGCAGAACTATTTGTGCCACTTTCAGTGCCTCCCCATTGTCGTTACTCCAAAAGAATGAATGAGCATCAGTTGTAGACAACAATAGGTTAACTCAGCTCCCATTGGCCCCATTCCTTTCAGTGGGTCTGCTCAAACAAGGGCTCACATTGGCCAGACCCTGTCACTGTGGTGTCAGAAATTCTGCACCGTCGGGTCATTTTCCACAGTCTTCTATCTTCACACATGTAGGCATAAAGGTTAAATGCTTTCTTTTTGCCAAAGACACTTTTTAACACAAATACAAAAATGATGTGAGAATGTTCACATTAATTACAAGTGTCTTGTGACTGCTTGTTATTCTGTGTTAACAAGGCTCTCAAAGTCATATCAATCCCACTGACTTAAACTTCATGTGTGAAAAAATGTACCATAGGACTGATTGGGTCCCTGGAAAAATCACCATTTTTGTGGGAAACAGGCTGAGCTTGAGGGGAGTTATGGCCTGGTTATGTTGGCAAGCCTTGGTCAGGGAAGTCATGATTGCACTGCAGTCATGAGGCTGTTCTTCGAAAAGCTCAGGTTAGGAAGGCACTGAATTACAGCATGAAGTGCCAGCAAAAGTGCTTGCCCACCCGAGGTTTGTAACTTTCATACTTCTACAGACCTCTCTAGAGATAGAAGGTTGTCTCTCAGTTTTCTTTCAGTTTAACCATCATAACAATCCCCAATGGATGTGCTGCATAGGAATGATGGGAACTGCAGTCCAACACTTTGGGAGTCAAGTTGAGGAACATGGTTGCACTAGTGGACCTTGGGAACGGTAGCTTGGCAAGAGGCCAGCAAATTCTGCTAGTGATCCTGAGGCTCCCACCAGGAAGGCCAGATCTCCAGGGAAGGCATATGGTTCATGTTAAACCAATATTCTCCAGGAAACACATTGTTGAAATTCGGGTAGAGTACCCCTAATGCGTCCAGGAAAAACACCATCA